ATGTGCACTGCAGTTTCCTCAGAAAGGATTTTCAACGTTTTGCAAGTCTACATCAATACAATTTTGAAAGCTGCTTTGATGTTTTTACCCACGCTTCAGCTTAATTGATTCACATTTGCTCTTTGCACTACCTGATCTAAATACAGCTACATAGCATCCTTACTGTCCTTTCATTTATGTACCTGCTTTACATAAAGAATCACTGCAGAAGCTTAGAGCGAGTTTCAAAATCCTACTTGCGAGCACCCACAGATTCAAATTTGGTTTTAAAAGCCTGCTCATGTATCTACCAGCTCTTTTTTCCACTACAAACCACAAATTTCTAGATATGTTGTACCCTTCCTAGTCAGCTCCTATCGTCTCTGCTGTTTCCTGCCCCTTTCCTACCTCCCCAGCAGCCCACACTCTGCTTTTCCAGAAAGGCCCTCATGTGCTGTGCAGAGTATCAGCATAGCGTCATAGAAAAGGGAACAGCTAGGAGATACGGGGTCACAAACAGAAATATGGCTGCCTTGGTTTACATCTTGATATTATTTTAGAGCCATAAAAGCAGTGATATATGTTTCGGTTTTTTTTTTTTCTTTAGTAATTCAAAATACTTGCCAGGTCAGGTCCAAAGTGCTGGCCAGTACACGAACAGGATTCCAACATTTGGGATCATGCAAAACCCTCATATACATATCAGACTGTTTTCAGTTCCTTGAAGCCTCAGCAACATCACAGGAAAACATTATGCTGGTTTTGTGTCACATTTTAATATATATGTATGTCAGAATTTAATCTTCAAAGTTTATTATATCAGAGAATAAATCACAGAAGTTGAGACTACTTATTACAGCAAACAGAAGTAAATTCTGTTGTATTATTTATGAAAAGAAAACAATACAGTACTCCAGTAATTAAATTAGAGGCTAAGATTCCTAATTCATCAAGGCTTTACTACTAGTGGAGATATAAGCATCTGATCACAGCTGATTTAATGTGGTACGAGTCAGCCCTGGCTCCTGACAGGGATGCAGTTTTCAAACTAGAAAGACAAAAAAGAAATCACGGAAAGAAATCTCATAATCAGATGCTGTTCCCATAGGAAGACAAGCTGGGAATATATTTGTATAAATACAAACAAAAGAAAAAAGTTTTTGCTCTGTAAATGAGCTGCTTTTAAAATAAATAACTCTTCCTTAAATCATGCTGCTCCCAAACGGCTTTTGAGACATGTCTGAAGTCAGATCTATAAACACAATAGCACACAGGTGGCCCCCACAAGACACACCCCACATATCCAGACCAGCAAGTGTTTGCCTTCAAACACGTGGGTAGCCCTTTGAAATCAAGGCATAAGAAAAAAAATCAGTATCTGCTGGATCAGACCACATGTGCAGTGGAGTATCATAGTAAAGCTTTAATATTGAAGAGAGCATTTGGATTAACTCTTTAAACATGTTTAATGACCACGAGTTGTGTTTAAAATGTTTTGGTGAGCCACTAAGTAACAGGAGAGAAAAGAGCTACGGCTCCTACATTCCATCCCCAGTGCCCACGGTGCCTGCTTCTAAACAGACCTTGCAGCCCGTTGGTGCCCCCAGGGTACAGCTCCTGGCACAGGGTGGCTGTGCAGGCCTGGGGCTGCTCTGACCACTGGCAGATGAACTGACAGCCACCCAGCACTGACGGAGCAGCTGGAAACCCAAAGGTGACGCACAAGGATCACTGCCCCTAACACTCATTCTTGTCAATGCCAAAAGCTGCTGAAAAACTTTATCTCACTAATCTGCTCTTTGAAAGGAAACACGCAGTCAAGCGATAAAATAACGTGCAACGATAGAGATGAAAACGAACTTACAATCTGGTTTTAGATATCTGGTCACAGATGAGAAATGTTCTGAACTGTACAAACACCAGCGTATGCTGCAGCACCAGCCCCCACCCAGCTCCGAACAGTTCTGAACAAGTTAAGGAGGTGTAAAATCAGAACCCTGAATCAGAAACACAAGAATGTGTTGTTCTTTCTTCCATCTTTTCTAACATGCTTTTATCCACTTAAAATCACAAATACTACTCCTGCAAGTCCGTGCCAGCATCTGAAATGTATGTTGTGCTGCGTATGCTTTCTTCTGGCTGGAAAACACTTCAAATGGCAACTAAATATTCTGTCTCCATGAAAAGAATGGAGATTGAGAAGACAACTCCATGTAGGAGTACACTTCCAAGCAAAGGCATGCAGGTCAGATGTTAGAAACTGCTCAGAGCTATCAATACATTTTACACACAAAAGTCAATAAGCATTTTGTAGAGCTTCAATAAAAACAGAGTGCACAAAGATCACCTCTCCAGTAACGCTCAGTAGAATTCCTCACTCCAAGCACACATCTGAAGAAAACTTCTAAATGCTAATTACTGTGGAAACTACTGGCAATCAAAAAGCTCCAAATCCACCTGAGAGACAAAACCCAAGGAAGGGTGTTTCTGGCAGTGCTCAACACGTCCTTTATGTGTTGCCAGTAGCATAAAAACCATCACTTATACTGGAATACAATCTAGCTGCTTACAGAGCGAGAAAAACTGAGCTTTCCTGATGGATTTAGCTTTCCTCAGATCTCAGACCATCAAAGCATTTACCCCAAGCACTGCAAATCAGACCCAGACGATCTCCCGCACCCTTCAGCTCGGAAAGCAGCAGCAGATGTGCCGATCCCTCAATGCAAGGCCGTTACAGCTACTCCCACAACAACTTCTCATTCGCAGCGGCCCCGCATACAGGCGCACCGCACCTCTCGTTCTACCACCGCGTGCCTGGGAAGATCCGCGCTGCCAGCTGCCGCACAGCGGGGCCCGAGCGCCGCAGCCGTTCCCGCAGCGGGGACACGCGGGCAGCGCACAGCCGAGCTTCTCCCTGCCACTCGCGGACGCCGCACAACGACCCGCCGCGCGGTCAGGCGCGGGGCTGCAGACGGCCTGAGAGGCAGCGCGATTCTCGCGGCGCTAAGGCCGCTCTGTCGCACCCACCCGTTTGCCGGCCTCGGAAGCGCAGGGAAATCACCTTTCCCACCCCGCCCCTCGGTTCGAGACCACCGCACACGCGGCTCGCACCCGTTTCCGGGCGGATCCCGCAGCTCAGCCGCTCCCCCGGCCCCGCCGCCCCGTACCTCCGGCAATGCCGCGTCGCTCCGCACCTGCCCGGCCGGGCGGTAAGGGCGCGTTTTCCGCCAGAGCGACATCACTTCCCGTAGGCTGGGGGCAGGCGCCGAGCGGCCCCGCCCGGACGCGGGGCAGTGGCGGAGTCAGCACCGCCTCGGCCACCCCTTTCCCGGGCTGGGACACCGAGCTGAGCCGCGCCAAGGAGCTGCCCGACGGGCTCCCCTCACACGGGAGTTGCACCGCTGTGTTGGTCGACACCGCTGCTTTGCGGCCGTCCCTCGTGGGCAGGTGGAAGTCACCGTGGTTTTGTACTGCGCTTCCCAAACAGGAGGGATGCGGAGCTGCTGGAGCGGGTCCCGAGGAGGGCCATAGGACTATCAGAGGTTTGAGAACCTCTTATGAAGACGGACTGAGAACTGGGCTCGTTTAGTTTAGCTTGGAGAAGGTTCTGGGGAGACCTCAGTATGGTCTTCCAGTACTTCAAGGGACCTTACAAGCAGGAGGGGAATTGACTTTTTACGTAATCTGATAGAGATAGGACAAAGGGGCTTTCAATTGAAAGAGGGGAGATTTAGGTTGGAAGTTAGGAAGAAATCATTTCCTGTGAGGGCAGTGAGGACTGGGCACTGCTGCCCAGAGCTGTGGGTGCCCCATCCCGGAGCTGCTCAAGGCAAGGCTGGGTGGCCCTGGGCAGCTGAGCTGGGGGGCACCCAGCACAGGTCGGAACTGGATGGGTTTAAGGTCCCCAACAATCCAAGCCAATCTGGTTCCCACTGTCCTCTCATCCCCACTTCCATAAGGCCCAGCCACTGCCTCCAACAGCCACACCACCCCTGGACTTAGATAAAAGCACATTGAGCGAAGTGACTTCTTCCCTCAGGTCATCCAGAGGCTGCTGTGAATGCCAACACCCGAAAAAAGTTCCTCCAAGAGCAGCAGCTTGGGATTCTTTTTTAGACACATTACAACCCTGACAGAGCCACACATCAAGGCACTGCCCTGAGCAGCCACAGAGGGCCTCAAAGCAGCACCCAAAGCAGCACTTTCTTTCTCGTTAAGTGTAGTATAGGACTGAAAACTGTCTATGTGCACATGTGTGGTACAGTACACACACTGATACACGGGAGCATAATCCATGGCCAGGTGTGGGTCACTGCCCAACCGCCTGCACAGCTCTCAGCAGATGGCAGGGATGACGAGCAGGATCTGGGACACAAACGGCGGCAGGAGGATCGGGACAGGGGAAACCCACAGAGGCACCAGGAGTAATTGCATGACGGCAACCTTCTTCGTCCAGCCACCTGACGGTTACTCAAACACGAAGACGCACCTCTGAGCGCTCACAGCTTTATGCACATCACAACACACTTGGGGTCCCTACGGGCCGGCACCGCTGTCACCTCCCGCGGGCGGAGCGGCCCCGGGGACCCGCCCGGCGCGGATGGGCGCGGAAAGCGGGAGCGGCACCCGCCGCCTCCTTACAGCGCAGCAGCGGCTCCTCAGGGCCTCCTCTCGGGTGCGGCGTCTGTCGTCGGCCCGGACGGGCTCTGCTGGGGCTGCTGGGACGCGGGAGGCTGGAAGACGGGCCGGTAGATGTACAGCCCGCTGGCCACGCCGAGCGCCATGGCCATGGCCACGTACGGCAAAGGCAGCCTCCCCCGCATGCCGTCGGTCTGGGCCACACCTGCACCGCACACACAGACGCGCGCGTGAGGCACCGCGCCAGAGCGAACGCGCGCTCTGCGCTCTCCCGCGCGGCGCCCCTCACCTGAAGGACAAGAACACCACCGAGCGGGGACCGCCTGCCCGCCACAGCGACCGGAAGGAAGTGCGGGGGGCGGGATCGCGCGTGCGCCATCGCCAGGCCCCGCCCCGCCATGGCAGCGGCCGGAGGTCTGCTGGCGCGCGCCAGGCGCTCGGAGCCGGTGAGGCTTCGCAAGCGCAGGTCGGTGCTGTACGCGGCCGCCGGAGGAGCCGCCGCGCAGCCGGGCGCCGGTAAGCGACGGGGAGGGGAGGGCACGGCACGGCCTCGGAAGGCTTCTTACCCGTACGCTTCGCTTCCGCAGGCGCCGCCGGCGGGACCGCTGCTCTGACGGCCCTGGCGGTGGCCGCGCGGGCGCTGAACTGCGCGCTCGTGCGCACCAGCTTCGTCCCGGACGAGTACTGGCAGTCGCTGGAGGTGGCGCACCGCCTGGTCTTCGGATATCCTTTACCGCCCGTCCTCCGCGGGAGCGGCCCGGCTCCTCCTTACTGAAACGGCCTTAACTGCAGCAATTATGGGCACCTGACGTGGGAGTGGGCGCACGGCCTGCGGGGATACCCGTACCCGCTGCTCTTTGCCTGCATCTACAGAGCTCTGCAGCTGCTGGGCGAGGATGACGTCCAGCTGCTGGTATGTAGAAGGAGTCGCAATGCATCTGCTGGTTGCGGTGTATTTTTGCTACTGCTCGGGTAGAACGCAAAGCCCTGTTCTGACAGTGGTACACTAGTGCAGACTTCAAACGTGAAGTCTCTCCAAATTTAGCATTTTACGTGAGTGCAGCACTCATGGCTAACTCTCCAGGCGCAGCCCTGCTGCCAGCGACTGCAGCCTCTCCACGGCTGCAGCCCCCACTCTCCTCAAGTTCCACGCTGACACTTAGCCCTGAGATCATAACTGTGCCCCTGCTCAGTTTGCCAAAGTGTTTAATCGTACCTATGGCAATGGACTTGCTAACAACAGCTCCTTGTGACTGCTGTTGTCATTCATCACATTTTCTAAATTGTACTTTGAAGAACTGAATACTGTCAGTGGAACCTGATCGTACTTTCTTGGTTCTGGCAGAAATACTTGTCTTACCAAAGGATCATACTGTTGTTGCTTTTCTTCTTTTAAATCATAAGATGTTACAGATAATATTTTCTATCTCACACATTAGTCTGAGCAGCCGTTCAGTAGCGCAGTAATTCTCTCTTTGAACTCATTGCAAGTATGAAGTTCTGTCTTTTCTCATGTAGATATGGGTCCCTAGACTGGTACAAGCAGTTCTGGCAGCTTTTGCTGATGTGAAGCTTTATTTACTAGTGAAACACCTTGAAAATGCAGAAACAGCAAAATATGTGGTAAGTCTCAGCTGTTTAAAAAAAAAAGATGCACATTAATCAGTGTGGCTGCAGCATAAGCATGGCCAAATGATTCTTAGTCATGCCTCAGAACTGTCACCTTTTTTAAAGCTACAGAACTTGTTTAATATTTGCCCCTGTGCACTCTCTTGTCATAACTGTTTCCAGTACTTCTGCCAGCTGTGTTCCTGGTTTACATGGTATACCTGTACCAGAACTCTAACAAACACCATGGAAACTCTTCTCACCATTTTTGCTCTTTACTACTATCCAATGAAAGGTTCCAAGATGGGGAGCAGGTAAGAACATTTCTCTAAACAGTACTGAAATTTTTTGGCACGGGAGTAGAACAGAAACCAGTTCAAATGCTGATTTTATCTTAAAATTTAAAGCAAACAAAGCCATCTTATTTTGTGTCACCTGCTCAACAGTAATTGTGGTGTTTTCTCTAAAATTTGTTTTGAAGTTCTGATGTTGCTGCTATACAACACGACTGTTGTCCGGTTCCCTTATGCACGGTATCACAACACAGAAAACTATAAGCTTTAGAAGAATTTAATTTAAGATAAGATATACTTGTTTAAGTGCAGCAGTAAATTAATGTGGTCACACCATTGTTAACCAGCTATTTATTTTAAAACAAGTACGTGCTCCTAATTAGCAACTCCAGTGCTAATATTGATATGATATCTAATATGAGTTGTGTATCTGGCAGCCTTCCAAGCCAAACAAGGTATCTGCATTCAGAGAATGAGAGTTACCAGCAGCATGCAGAACTCTTGGTCAGAGACAGAACAATATTTCTATTGCTATGTTCTACTGCTAAATAATTGATCACACCTTCTGGTAAGCTTTCTTTGTTTGTTTTTTCTGTTCCTTCATTCTAGATGGAAATATTTAAGTTTGATAGCACTTGCAGTTGTCATTCGTCCCACTGCAGCTATCCCATGGATACCTTTGGTCTTCTGTCATTTTTTACAAGAACAGAAAAAAGCAGACCTCATCCTGTACAACTGCATTCCAATTGGGTACGTTCCTTCTGAAGTTACACTCTGTTCACAGCTGTATCTTAAGATTGATCTTAGCACTATATACTGCAGCAGAGACAGAAGGCGCAAAAAAGCTGACTGCATTGAAGTCCAATACAAAGAAAAGTCCTTTTGCAAAAGTTTAAAGAAGGGATGTGCTTCTTTGAAGTGAGTTTATATGCTGCAAAAACCTACACAGAGATGTAATCAGAATGAGATGCCAGCAGCATTCCAGGTTAACCTGGGATTACCAAGGATACTGGGGAGCGGCAACTGGCCACTCTACAATGGCCACAAGTAGGGATAATCCTAAAAGAGTTTGGGAGTAACTACTCAGAGAGTTTTGACAACAGTATGGAGAAGAGTACAACCTGATGCATAAGCAATGCAGGCAATAGGAATGCAATCCATTTTTCTTCTTTTGCAGATTGGTCACACTGGGAACCTCTTTAATAATTGACCGTGTGTTTTTTGGTGAGGTAAGCTGCTTTAAACTCAGCACTACAACTTTTTATTTTTTCAGTCGTTTTAAAAATGTGTTGGACTTTTGCACCTTATTGTCTGTGAGTGTGTCTGGTCTGTCTTCTGTAAATGAAGTCACGAATCCCTGAACACTGACTTCTTAGTTATTTTAAATGACAGACTTCAAGTCAGCTCTCAGTAAATCAACAGTTTTCAGTATTGCTATAGCACTTGCAAGCTGGTTGTAACAACTGCTAAAAATAGGGATCTCGTGATAAGTCTTAGCAGAAAAGACGTAGGCGTAGGCACAAAGGAAACTTATCAGTTATGCTAGTTTAGATGTTGTCTTTTGTTTTTTATTTTACTTACCCCTTTTTTTGCCTTTCCCTAACCATCCCAGTGGGTGCTGGTTCAGCTGAACTTCTTGAAATTCAACGTGCTACAGAATTTGGGAACGTTTTATGGTTCCCATCCCTGGCACTGGTACTTCACTCAAGGACTGCCAGTTATCTTGGGTACCCACCTGCCTTTCTTTATTCATGGCTGCGTGATGGCACCAAAACGGTATCGCATCTTTCTAGGGGCAGTGATTTGGACAGTGCTAGTATACAGGTAATTTCTTCTAAACATAATTACTGTCTTTGACCATTTGTGTTCTTTTCATCAAAACTTGTCCTCCCTAGAATGAAAAAGGATGGTATTCAAGCTAAATGACAGAAAACCTAAAATTATTCTAATACACGTAGAAATAGACTCAATTATGCAATGTTTTCTAAAATTGTATGTAATATTGCTACTTGCATCATTAGCATACATGTATATTTAACGATTTGATTCTAAAATAGTAAAATAATTTGGCAAGAAATTCAATGGAAAACAATCAGTAACTTCTGCATCACCTCAAGGGTGTTTAAGTAACAACAGAACTAGTCAGAAAGCTGAGCTCACTAGACATCTGCTAATGAAAATGCTGCATCGTTTGTTTCTCTAATATATCCCCAATAAGAAGAGAGGTTCTTCAACTTATAAAATTTGCTTCATTTACAAGTCATTTGATGACTGTAGATTACACAAAAGAGACAGGAAGGTATATGCAAACTAGTGCATACCTAATGGTAAACTGTCATCAGACTGAAGTAGTAACAGAATGCAGCAAAGCAGGAGCAAGGTCACAAATGTAATCTCTTTCCTCAGACCAACTCCAAAGTGAATGTAGCCTATTGGCCCTTCTAGGTTCCTCTAGCCTTCTGCTTGGTTCTCAGGACAAAGTTTTGCAGTAATTTCAAGTCTTACCCAACTACCCATCATTTCCCCTCCTCCCCCTCCCCCCCCCCCCCAAAAAAACAACACAAAATCAAATGCTGAGGTGGGAAATGGTGTAAAGTTGTATTAGCAGAAGTGAATGTTATTCTGTTAGATAAAATGCAAGCGTAAGTCTTAGCTCAATCTTAGCTCACCATCCATTTTGTTTCTTGCTTTGTTTTTAATACAGAAAACTAGTAAGTAATGTACTCCCTATCACATCTAGTATTCTTAGTCAGCTTAACTGCTGGAGCACAGTAGCCAGTGCTTGGTTTAAAGTGATCAAGTAACTTCAATTTCATTGTTCTCATATGTTCTTAAAAAGTGATGGTTTGCACTTTTTACTCTAAACTGGTAACATGCCAAATGCTTTTTCATATGTTTAAGTGCCCTTCTCATCTTCCATGCTCTAAACATTATTCTGTCAACAGAATTGATGCGTTCAACTTTCTATTGTACTGTATCTGTTTTATTACAGCACACTGAGCCATAAAGAATTCAGGTTCATCTATCCAGTACTGCCATTTTGCATGTTTTTTTGTGGTAAGCACTTAGTTTTAAATGTCTCACAACCTTCCCCTGCTAATAACTTTTATCAAAAGACAGACTGTTAATAGTGAATGTAGGATTCTTAAAATGAGCCTAACTTTTCTTTGCAGATAGAAAAAAGGATGAATGATAGCAAGAGACTGAAATACGTAAGAATCTTTAGCGTGGAAAAAAGTATTTCCTACAAGCTGTAATACTGTAGCAAAATCTTATCTGCTGGGAAGTTACAAAGAAAAGAGTAAAGTCTGCAGAACGTGGAGCTGGATAGCTTTAAATTGACAGATAAATTCAAAACATAAGAATCAGTTAATATTGTAATAACCTATATTTTGCTCATATGAACAAAAGTACATCTTAGTTGCATGATTCTGTTGCTGGCAAATACCAAATAGCTAATGTCTTGGCTTAGTTCAGTGCTCAGTTCAGAAGATTTAAGATTTTTACAAAAACAGATTAAAAAAGCCTATAATACACTGTTTCCACTCATGCTTAAATCACAGATTAATTATTGGACTTCATTTTCATCTGAGACAAAGATCTGCAATTTGTTAGAACATGAACCAAATGAAGACTGACTGAAATGATTTGTTCTATACTAGTGACTTCTGAAGCAGGCCTGGTTTTTATTTTGATTCAGTGAAGGTGGTCACAGAGTGGGGCTGTATAAAAGATTTCTATCACGTATCCCCTATCATGAGAAATATCTTTTCCTCCTATTACTAGATTCTTACAGGAGTGAGAGGGCAGGGACGGGACATAAAGGAATAAGCATTTACCAGGATGTTAGCTCAAGAACAAGTAACAGTAAAGATCATATCAGCCAGTTGAAGGGAACACTGTAGCTTTCAGCATGCTGGAGATAAAGAATACCACAGCCATACCAGAGCAGTCATTATTGTTTATTCTGGCTCTACCCCAACATGTACACATCTGTAAGTCACCACACACCATTCATCCAAGCACTGAATGGACTCATTTCCTCACAAGAAATTAAAACTAAGCCCCAGAGAGATAATGAGTTTGAAATTTTTCTTCTGGACTCCAAAGAACAGGTACAGACTTAACATTTACAGTGTTACATCCAACAGTAAGGGCAAAGTCTGATCTTTGAATTTCCATTCAAACAGTAAAGACTGAAGTACATTAAAATACCTCAAAGCAAGGTACTGTTCGCAAATGACTAATAGTTTCCAAAGGTACTACATGAAACTTCAAGTATTTGCTTATCTAAACTTAAATGTTTCTCTAGGATATTCTCTGAAACACCTAAAAGCATGGAAGAAGTCTGCAGCAAGCTTCTTGCTTTTATCAAATTTAATCCCAGCCCTGTATACAGGCTTGATTCACCAGAGAGGCTCTCTTGATGTTATGAATCACGTACAGCAACTTTGTAACAGCTCTTACCAGTCACAAGCTTTTGTCTTCATCATGATGCCATGCCACTCTACTCCATTTTACAGGTAATAAAATAGCTGTCAGTGTATTATATTAAAATCTACTAGACATTTAAGCAGAAATGGTAAAAATAAAAAATAAAAAATCTGATTGAGGTGGATAAATGTATAGAGGAAGTTTGTTCTTCATAAAGCTAACACAGAATGAATAGGGAAAATAAGCTAAATGCCTAGAACACAGAATGAGACTCAGGAGCCAGGTTTTACTCAGTTTTTGTAAGACAGTTTTGTATGAAGCTATACAGTAGTCCTAGGGCTTCTGACAGTAATTCATACATCTCAATTATAGTAACTTGTATGGGAAAACTGAAGTGCTCTGCTATAGTCAGAATGTATTATTTTAATTTTACCTTTACTTCTGCTGCTGGAAGGTAAGGAAAGGGAATTAATAACATACAATGACTGAATTCACTATTCTAGAAAGTTTGCAATATAACCCAGTAAGCAAACAGATAAAAACCACACAGCTGATTGGAGGGGGAAGGGAAGGAAGTACTTTTTATTTACTAAAACGATGTTATGCAGATTATGTTTGCATTGAGATAAATCTGCTTTCTGTGAACTGCTAAAAGCATTCACAGTAGCTTCAAGCTGAATCCACATTTTGTATTTCTGCTTTTTATAAAACATGTAAGTGAAGAAAACATGATGTTGGAGTAAACGTAAACTTTTTTTCTCTTTTTTTTCTTTTTAACTGAGGTATTTAGGTGATGAATCATTTCAAATCCCGGGTCTTTATCAGTTTATCCTGAATATGTTTTGTTTTTTGTCCTAGCCACGTTCACTGTCCTCTAAAAATGAGATTCCTTCAGTGTCCCCCAGACCTAACTGGAAATGAAAGCTATGTTGATGAAGCAGATCTATTTTACTCTAATCCACTTGGCTGGCTTAATAAGGAGTTTTACAATGATACACTATTGCCCAGTCATTTGATTTTCTTCAGTGTGCTAGAACAGGTATGGTAAACGTAAGATGAAACAAACTAGTTTTGAGGTCAAGTTACAGGAGAAATTGAGCTGCAGAAGATTTAAAAACTCTTCCTTAACTTTTTAGAAACACTTAAAATTGAACCCCCCTAGTCCATAAAATAGTATAGATACCATTCCAGTGATGCATACTTAACATTCACATGTGCTCTGTATGCTTTCTGCATCTCAAAGTTTTACAGCCTTTTCCTCAAGCCATGTGAAAACAAGTGTATTGTCTGTTCCCAGAATCGTATGCTCTGACGTAACAGGGACAAGCAAACGTGCCTCTGTCTCAGGGTACCTCTTCCCCTCAGTTCTTTTATGAAGTCCATATACTCAAATGGCAGTGTCTGGTGAAGATACACTGCATACAGAATCAAACAGGATAGCTCTCTCTAGCAACCTTTCCTAAATAAAGAAGTTCCCAAGAATAGCTGAATTAACAGTTTCCAGAAGACTCTGGAGCACTGTTCTGATGCTCTCCAAATACTTTTGTCTGTGGAAACTAATATATGTTCATTTACAGGAAATATCATCATTCCTAGCTTCAAAGGGCTATAAGAAAACAGCCACTGTCTTTCATACTCATGTACCTCAAGGACGAGTTGGAAGCCATATCTACATCTACAAGAAAAAACCTGAAATGAATCGTATCTGAAGATCAGTTTCTAGACTTAGAAACTAACGAGCTCAGTTTCGTATAGCAGTACAGAAGATACTTCACTGCAGAAAGGAGAGAGTAGTGAGACTGAACTGGTAAGTCAAATGGGAAAGTCTCATTACACAAATATCAACTGTCTCAAAACACATAAACCTCTTCTTGAAGGTAATTTCAGACTGGGGTGAGGTGAGGGGCGCTGATCTACCATACAGCACTAAAGAATATCAAGGCCAAAGCTACCATGTGATTACTGTCACAGTAAGAAATCAGACAAGACTGGACCAATTTATAGAACTGTACAGCTATGCTACGTTTATTTCTTTTTATAAATAAAGACTTTTACCCACGCTGTCTCTTTATTTTTCTTCCCCGAAATGCAGATATGCAAAATAGTTCAAGTGCTTAAATCAGCAAGCTGATCAGAATGCAGCACAGCAAATTCTTGACAATTCAGCAGGCTCATAGCCCCCCACCCCAAAACAAGAAGCAAGTATAAGATTACAAAACACTGACAAATACATTACTATAATGTAGAGTTGTTTTTTTTTTTAAAGGATGAGATGAAGTTAGTATATCAAACACTGAAGTTAATTATTGGTACATTATGCATGACTCAAGCTTGAACTATACTAATGGAATGCAATTAAGCATATTTTTCATACGCAAGTCATTGCATGCCTAGTTTCTGTAACAATGCCACTGGTAGCCAAAGTATCATTGCTTCCAATGAACAGTTAAAGCAACAATACCAAATATGCAAATCAGAAAGACTGACTCCTGCCTTTTAACAAGAATTTGTAAAAATCAAATTATCTAGAGAAACTTGTATCTCACTGCTTCGTTGAAAAACAATTCGTTTCCAGAGAACATGTGCATTATTAAGTCTTTCCTTTTTTTAAACCATAAATTACTTAGTATTTTGGATCAAAGGGCAACTGCCCCAGTTCTATTTCAAGATTTGCCATGTGTCTTCCATTAGTGCGACCATGTTTATGCCATTTACCTTCTCTTTTATTACGGTGGTGGTACTTCTGAGCTTGTTTTTCATGTCTGGGATTTTCAGTTTGTGTAAAAGAAGGCCTTTTAGGTCGACTGCAAGGAGTAAACAGAAACTTGTTACTACTCTTAGAAAAGCACTTCTCTAAAAGCATTCTGAAATACAATTACATTGTCAAGAACAGCTCTTAAGGTGCTGAGGTTGGCTGGAAAAAAAAATTTAGTATCAAGTAGTTCTTTCCCTTACTAGCAAATGGGCAGGGTTTTTGATGTAATTGTTTTGAAAACCATCAGTGAGATGGTGTATTTTAAAGAAAATCTTTCCATTAATAAAAAATACTCTGCAGCTGGTTTCCCAAGTTCTTTGCAGAATACAGCTACATAAACAATCTGTTTGAGCACCCCTACTGTGATGCTTGAAAGGAGGTCTCCATCTGTTTTTCAGTTGTTCTTTTATATTCTGCTCTATAAAAACAACGAAAACTTTATAGACTTGTGCCTAGACATGGGCACTTTAGAGGTTCTCCTGCATGCAATGAAAACATTCATACAGAGAAGGGTGGTACTGGCAAAACACCACTGCTCACTTATTGCAGTCTGTGACGCACACTGCCATTACACTACATGCTGTTATTCTGTCACTGGTCTAGGCTTGGCTAAGCTGAGTTAAGGCTATTTTCATCCTCAGGCACAGAGAATTCAGTAAACTAACTTGAAATTCTGTTCTTCTGCAAACTGGAGTCCTCAAAAATTAAGTAATTAAAATTTGTTTTAATAATAAATTAGTAAGAAGTAGTTTAACTATAAATGAAAACAAGTCAAGTATTTGCCAGAACTACACATTAGACAAGGCAACTTGGTAAATGCTAGATTTATCACCCTCATTGTTCAGCCTTCAGTAAGAGGATACTATCCTCATGTAGCACCTACTAACTCCAAACTAGTTTTCAGACCTCCTGCTACAATAAACACATGATATAGTAAACAATACAATCCAAAAAATAATCCTGACTGAAGACACACACTTGTGTTGAATACCAGCCCAGAGAAAAAGTCCTTTTTATGTGTAAGGACAACTAATCTATAATGCACAAGAAAATTATATACAAGGATTTTTTCCTATTTGTTCAGACTAAGTATTAGCACAAAAGATTACATAATGAATTCAGTAACAGCAAAGACATTAAAAGCCACAGAAAATATATACATTTAAGTACTCCAGAAAGAGCAAATTTCACACAATACACTAAGGCTGCTTGCCTAACTTTCTTCAGCAAAGGCTATGCAGCAGGAACAGCACATTACCTCTAGCTTCTTTGGGCCAGCAAGCACACACCTGCTCTGCAGAAGCCCTGATAATATCATCAGAGACAGAAAAGCAATGTAGGAAACAACACAGGCCATGGACAGCAAGTCAGCAAGTCCAAAACATTTTAGTACAGCTCAGTTCAGATGATGAGTTTGCTATTTAAGCAGTTCCACTCCGTTGTAAAGACTAATTCAATACTGTACTAACCTACATTGGTAGTTACACACCTGAAAAGGCAGCAGGGAAGATACCTGCCAGAACAGGGCTTTAAGGCTGCTCAAATATATGCTAAATCCTCTGTTAGGCAAGAACAATAGAAAGCTGCAGTTAATGTTTTTTGTGAAACTGCCTGTCTGAGGGAATGAAAAGCTATCATAGCTGTTCAGTCTAAAGTAATCCTACTTGCAAGCTTTCTAAAAGGCTCAGTGAAAAACCAGATTGTACTACATGCCATAGAACCGTGACCTGTAGTACCTTAAACATTTATTTTTTCCTGCAGAGGAGAATGTTAATTTGGGAGGTGCTAGAAGCACAATCCATTTCTACTGAGTCTCTTACATACATATCTATGGCTAGAAATATAGACATCTGTGTATAGAGTACCATCTGTTAGAACAAGGACACTAGTTGTCTTTAAAAAACTACTTCATTTTGTTAACTGTTCAGGAAATATGGAAACCAACCTGGGTCCATATTGGGGTGAATTATCATACTGAAAGTAGTATCTGTAGATGTACTTGTCCAAATCATCAAAAACCTTCTCATTCTTATTTTGGTATTCCTTCATATCTTCCAGATAATCCTTGACATCATTAACAAAATCAGTGAACAGCATCTGGTCGTGTATAAAAAACCCATTATGAAAAAACTGATTGATGAAACTTTCTAGTTCTCTCCAATGATGAAAGTTATGTACAACTTGTTGCAAATACTTTCTTATTAGCCGATTAAATTCATCCACTCCAATAGGATCTGAAACTCTGTTAAAGAGACTAACAAATTCTTGATTAGCACATTCAAAAATACCAGAACAGCCCTTTAGGTCAAACGGATGTTTTCTACTACACAAAGGATCATTGAGACATTTCTGTGAATCTGCATCTTTTTCAAATGTTGTAAACTGATGTTTTCTTCCATCTCTGAAATCTTTTGGCATGTTAGATCTCCTGTAATGTGTCTGCTTCAGATTCTCATAAGAGTTATGTTCTCGGTAAAAAGTTCGAGCTCTCTTGTTTGCCTCGTATTTTTTTTCATTTGGCTTCTTCTCCTTTTCATCCAAGATGGTTTTCGTGGTATCTTTGAAGTGTCTGAATGTGGACTTTACAGAATCAGAGAATTTTTTCAGCTTTTCTTTCACTGCTTCTTTAGCCTGCTTGATCTTTTCTTTATGGTGTCTAACGAACTCTTTTGCGGAATTTTTCATAACATCAAAAGTTTCTTTAACTGAGCCAAAAAATGACTCTTTTGATTTCTTCTTAGATTTACTTTGCCCTTTAGCACCTCTCTTCTGTCCCTTTTCATTCATTTCTTGTTTTTCACTTTGATCTTTTACTTCAACGTACAACTTCTCCCACAAGTCAGAGCGCTGTTGCTCAAAGTTTAGCTTTTTTTCTAGTTCCACCAGTCTTCCTCGCAGAGTTTCTATTTCTTGATTTTCTCTTAACGTGTCATCATCATTAACACTGTCAGGTGTTTGACGAGAACTCAGCTGTTCCAGTTCTTTTTTCAGGGATTCTGTAATATGACGTTCTTTGTCCAGCTCTCTCCTTAACATTTGTGCTTCTGCAAAAAGCGTTTCCTTTTGCCTACGAAAATTATGGTTTCTTTGCTTTTCCTCTTCCAAATGTTCCCTTAGTTTCTGATTTTCCATGACAATAGACTCAGTACTAGTACCTTTGTCTTCCAAGTTTCTTATTTGTTGTCTTAGCTTCCTTAGTTCTTCCTGAAGCGAGACCAAAGCTTTTTCTTCCTTCTCTAGAGATTCTCTTAAGTGCTGATTTTCTGCAGCAAGACTTTTTTTCTGTGATTCAAAGGATTTCTTCTCCACCTCAGTAAAGGTCAAACACGTGGCAAGATCTCCCGTGAGTGACTAGTGCAAACAAGAAGAAAACAAGACAAAAACAATGATCAGAATTGTTATAATTTTAGCTGGCAAAATAAAAGACCAAGGTAGATTCAACAGTTTGCTTGCCATTTTGGTTGAAATGACATGTTGCAGCATGATGCAAAAAATAGAGCTAGTTTATTTATCTCAAGGATAGAAAAACAAACATTCTCTTGGCAACAAAGACCACGTGAGAAACTCCCACTTCCAACCAGAGGTCATCACCCCTTGCTTTCACTGATTCAAATAGCTGAAGGGAAGTAAACTAGAAACTTGAATTGATGCATCTTAAAAAGAAATTAAAACATATGCATGATATTCAGCAATCTGGATTCACAGGTTACAGAAACAAATCCATTATTATTTGTAATCACTACTAAGTGTATTAAGCAACGGGGGCACAAATTCTTAAACTCAAATCAACTTTGTTGCTGAAAGAACATATGTAACTATATCCTAACACAAGAGAATAACTCTCAGTCTCTTGCTATCCATGACAAACTGAAGGACTAAGCATCTTGTACTATATGTAAATACTGCTATCAGCAATGTCAAAATAAATTATTCATTTTTAAAAAGTACTCCCAAACAAAGCACTTCCCCAGCATTCTCCCTGAATTATCTGAAGGTGAAAACCTAAGTTAAACATTTGAAAAATGAATAGCCATTGAGAATTTAAAAAGTAACACCGTAAAATCTGCAAGATCAAGCTGCAATAGATTTTTACCAGCACAGTTCTATTTCAGCTGTCTTTATTAATCACAACCTAGCATTGTGTCATAGGGAAGGAGACAAAAGGGACCACGCATATGGGCAAATAACTCCCAGGCTACTATTAAGACTGAATAAATAAAAACCATTGTGCTTTAACACTTAACAGTAACAACACGTGTAATGCACTTCTGTGATAAATTAATTTCACTTTGTGTAAAGTACACAC